TGCCTGTCTAATTTTGTGTTTTTAGTAGAGATATGGTTTCTTCATGTTGGTCAGGCTGATCTCGAACTCCCAACCTGAGGTGATCTGCCTGCCTCAGTCTCCCAAAGTGCTGGGACTGCAGACTTGAGCTACCCCACCTAGCCCATCGAATCCCTTCTAAGCCTCTGCTATGCACAGCTCTTGGCCAGCTGCAATCCAGCAACAGTCCCCTCTCCTTTTTTTTTCTTTTTTCTTCTTTTTTTTTTTTTCTTTCTAATCCCCTCACCTTTCTCTGACCTTCTGCAGTTTATGAGCTAGGCCTTCTCATGAAGGTCACTTTTTCTGAAATCACAGCCCACGTTTGTCTTGAACCAGAGCTTTAGCCTTCAGAGTTAGGGGTTTTGCCTTAGGTTCTCTTGCTTCCTGCCTAGGAGTCCTGAGAGCTAGCAGGGAATAAGCACAGCTTTGATTGACTTGTTAGAGTCTGGGCTCCACCACACTACCTGCTGAGTGACTCTGGCCTCTGCACCTGATCTTAGAGTCTTGGCTTCCTCAACAGTAAAATGGAGTTCAGGCCAGGTGCGGTGGCTCACGCCTGTAATCCCAACACTTTGGGAGGCCGAGGTGGGTGGATCACTTGAAGTCAGGAGTTTGAGACCAGCCTGGCTGACATGGCGAAACACTGTCTCTACTAAAAATACTAAAATTGCCAGGCGTGGTTGTGGGCCCCTGTAATGCCAGGTACTCAAGAGGCTGAGGCAGGAGAATCTCTTGAACCTGGGAGGCAGAGTTTGCAGTGAGCTGAGATAGCACCATTGCACTCCAGCCTGGACTACTGAGAGAGACTCTGTCTCAAAAAAAAAAGGGGGGATTCAAATGCTTTATTTTCCATGCTTGTGAAGATGAAACAAGATGGTGGGCTCGGCGCGGTGGCTCACGCCTATGATCCCAGAACTTTGGGAGCCCGAAGCAGGTAGATAATGAGGTCCAGAGTTCAAGACCAGCCTGGCCAAGGTGGTGAAACCCTGTCTCTACTAAAAATACAAAAATTAGCCAGGCATGGTGGCGTGTGTCTGTAATCCCCCAGCTACTAGGGAGGCTGAGGCAGAGAACTGCTTGAATCTGGGAGGCAGAAGTTGCAGTGAGCTGAGATCATGCCACTGCACTTCAGCCTGGGCAACAAAGTGAGACTCCATCTAAAAAAAAAAGAAAACAATGAAGGTTGGTATTTCTAACCTAGAGCCTGGCACATAAACAACAGGAGCTCAAAAGACACCAAGTTCCTTCCTTTTTGGCTTTGCAGTGGGCTTTCCCTGTTCACTCCCTCCAGTGGGGCACATACCTCTGGGCACGTGTGCTCACTCATATCTGTGCACGTACATGTGATAGTGCGCCCATTGTACTCCTATTAAGACACATATTGAGTCAGAAATGGAAACTTTCCTTTCAACACCTCCCTAACTCTATTCATCAGCTTCCAGTTCCTGTTCTCTGGGTCAGTGGGGACCCTGGTGTCCAGACTTGGGCCATGACCTTTCCAGTCTCCAGGTACAGTTCTATTTTTTTCTTTCTTTCTTTTTTTTTTTTTCAGATGGAGTTTCGCTCTTGTTACCCAGGCTGAAGTGCAATGGTGCGATCTCGGCTCACCGCAACCTCTGCCTCCTGGGTTCAGGCAATTCTCCCGCCTCAGCCTCCTGAGTAGCTGGGATTACAGGCACGCGCCACCATGCCCAGCTAATTTTTCGTATTTTGAGTAGAGACGGGGTTTCACCATGTTGACCAGGATGGTCTCAATCTCTTGACCTCGTGATCCAACTGCCTCAACCTCCCAAAGTGCTGGGATTACAGGTGTGAGCCACCGCGCCCGGCCTTGTTTTTTTTTTTTTTTTAACCACATGAAAGCTTGGTCTTTTATTCCAGGTACAGTTCTAAAGGTGGCTGTTGGGTGGAAAAGGATCCTGAGGGAGCCTGGGTTCCCGCCATCAGTCAGGCCTTTGCCTCCCTCCCTCCTTCCCTCCCTGCCAGGACGACCTGTCTGCTTCACAGCTGCTGTGGAAGAGATAGGCAGCCTGGATTATCAAGCCAGACAAGGCCCCTTGATGACAGTTCCCACCCACCCAGAGGCAAGTGTTTCTGAGCCCTTAACCCCCTCTGTGCTGGGGCTTCAGGCCTTGGGACTGGGCATAGCAGGGAACATGGGTAGGCCTAGTACCCTCTATACTGAGTTCCTAAGGCTGATGTCATGAGCACAGCAGGGTGTGAAACAGCATCACCTGTACCCTCCAGGTGCCCATTCTGCATCCTAGGCCCTTTCCATCCTGAGTTCATGGTAAAGAGGGCCTGAGTGGACCTCTGAAGGCTTAGGCAGAAGGCTTTATACTCTCTACTCCCCCTTCCTGAGGCTGGTTTCAGGCTCTGGGAACAGAGGCCTGGCTTTCTCCATTTTGGGGGTCTATTGGCATAGTACAGGTGCTGATGCATCCCCTCCTCACTCCCTACCCTCACGTCATTGCTCCTGTCTCCTCTCCAGCATCCTTCAGATCTCTTTCAGCAAGTCTCCACCCATCTTCTTGGCGACCACCTTTTCCCAGACCCTTCTGGTGGTCTCCCCTGGCTAGTGACTGTCCCTGACACTAAGACCAACCTGGACAATCTCCTAGTTGGGTCTAATTGTAGCCTCTCAGGCCTCCTTTTCCTGAAGGTCAACAGGAAACAGTGAAAAGAGCAGTAGTAGGCCAGGCATGGTGGCTTATGCCTGTAATCCCAGCGCTTTGGGAGGCCGAGGCAGGTGGATTACCTGAGCCTCAGAAGTTCGAGACCAGCCTGAGCAACATGGTGAAACCTCATCTCTACTAAAAATACAAAAATTAGCTGGGCATGGTCGTGCATGTTTGTAGTCCCAGCTACTTGGGCGGCTGAGGCAGGAGAATCGCTTGAACCTGGGAGGCGGAGGTTGCAGTGAGCCGAGATTGTGCCACTGCACTCCAGCCCAGCAGAGCAGGACTGTGTCTCAAAAAACAAAACAAAAACAAAAATTAGCCAGATGTGGTGTGTATGCCTGTAGTCCAAGCTACTCAGGAGGCTGAGGTAGAAGGATCACTTGAGTTCAGGAAGGTTGAGGCTGCAGTGAGTCATGATGGTGCCACTGCACTCCAGCCTGGGCAACAAAAAGAGACACTATCTAGCTTGAAAAAAAACCAAGTCTGCTCCCTCAAATAATTTTGCCATTTCAGTAAATAGCAACTCTGTTCTTCCAGACAGGACAAAGATCTTAGAGGCAATTTTTTTTGAGATGGAGTTTCGCTCTTGTTACCCAGGCTGGAGTGCAATGGCACGATCTCGGCTCACCGCAACCTCCACCTCCTGGGTTCAGGCAATTCTCCTGCCTCAGCATCCTGAGTAGCTGGGATTACAGGCACGTGCCACCATGCCCAGCTAATTTTTTTGTATTTTGAGTAGAGACGGGATTTCACCATGTTGACCAGGATGGTCTCAATCTCTTGACCTCATGATCCACCCGCCTCAGCCTCAAAGTGCTGGGATTACAGGCTTGAGCCACCGTGCCTGGCCTTATTAATTTTTTTTTTAAGATGGAGTCTCACTCTGTTGCCCAGGCTGGAGTGCAATGGCGCGATCTCGGCTCACTGCAGGTTCAAGCGATTTTCCTGCCTCAGTTTCCCAAGTAGCTGGGATTATGGACGTGTGCCACCATGCCCAGCTAATTTTTGTATTTTTAGTAGAGATGGGGTTTCACTACATGTTGGCCAGGCTGCTCTTGAACTGCTGATGTCATGTTCCACCTCAGCCTCCCAAAATGCTGGGATTACAGGAGTGAACTACTGTGCCTGGCTGTTATTATTATTATTTGAGACAGGGTCTCACTCTGTCTTTTAGGCTGGAGTGCAATGGCAAAATCTTGGTTCACTGCAACTTCTGCCCCCTGGGTTCAAGCAATTCTCCTGCCTCAGCCTCCCTAGTAGCTGGTAGTACAGGTGTGAACTACCATGCCCGGCTAATTTTTGTATTTTTTTTTTTGAGACGGAATTTCGCTGTTGTTACCCAGACTGGAGTGCAATGGCGCGATCTCGGCTCACCGCAACCTCCGCCTCCTGGGTTCAGGCAATTCTCCTGCCTCAGCCTCCTGAGTAGCTGGGATTACAGGCACGCGCCACCATGCCCAGCTAATTTTTGTATTTTTAGTAGAGACGGGTTTCACCTTGTTGACCAGGATGGTCTCGATCTCTTGACCTCGTGATCCACCCGCCTCGGCTTCCCAAAGTGCTGGGATTATAGGCGTGAGCCACCGTGCCCGGCCTTTTTTGTATCTTTTGTAGAGACAGGGTTTTGCCACATTACCCAGGCTGGTCTTGAACTCTTGTACTCAAGCAATCTGCCCACCTCATCCTCCCAAAATGCTAGGATTACAGGTGTGAGCCACTGCAACCAGCCCATGTCTGGTTTGTTTCATAATCTTGCAACATTATGTTTGCAAGATTCATTCAAGTATTTACCTGTAGCAGTAGTTCATTTGTTTTCATTACTGCATAGTATTTAATTTAATGAATATGATACACTTTTTCATTCTACCATTCATGAACATTGGAGTTGTTTGAATTTGGGGGCCATTATTCATAATGCTGCTGTGAGTATTCTTGTATCTATAAGTATGTATATTGCTGTTGGGAGTGAAATGGTTGGGTCAAAAGGTATGCTTATGTTCAGCTGTAGTAGATTCTGTCAAACAGGTTTCCAAAGTTGTTGTATGGACATACGTTTCTAGCAGCAGCCTATGAATGTTCCAATTGCTCCTCCTCCTCACCCATACTTGATATTGTAACTTTTGTTTTCATTTTAGTCATTCTGGTGGGTGTGTAGTGATAATCTCATTTTGGTTTTAATTTGCATTTCCTTGATGACTAATGAAGTTATGCATGCTATTCCTGCTATTCTTTACTGTGTAGCAAATCAACCTCCAATTTAGAAGCTTAAACAATGAACAGTCCGTTTACTATCTCACACAGTTTTTTTTTTATGCAAAATGTGTTTATTAAGATAGTTTCCCACTCATCTTGATTCAGAGTACTTTTAGTGCTGCTTCCTCCTGAATGAACATCCTTCTGTAAGCCTTGCTTTTCCTCCTGTAGGCTGGCAGAGGACAGTGGAGCAACCAACACACAAAACCACCGTTTGTGCATGGCTGAAGACCGTGGTGATTTTATAGCATCCTGGGCATTTCACATCCATGAAGTAGGAATTGGGACTTTGCACCAGGCGTTTCTTCTTGTGTTTCCTCTTCTCCTCTTCCGGAGACGGATGAAGGAGATCCTTTGCGAGAGGCATGTTCTCGTGCGTAGGTCGTCACCGCCGGAAAGGACTATCTCACACAGTTTTAGGAGTCTGGATTTTAGGAGGTTGGTTGGACAGAACTGGCTTGGGGTCCCTCATACAGATGCAGCCAGATGGGGGCTGGAGCAGCTGCAGGTATCTCTCTCTCCCTCTTCATGTAGCCAGGGCCTAACCTTGTGGTCCCTGTGGACTTCCTTACAGTACAGTGGCCTCAGAATGGTCTTACTGCTTACATGGTGGCTGAAGGCTTAAAGAGAGAGAATTCCGGCAAATAAAGCCTAAGCTTTGTCATCGTTTGTGATCTAACCTCAGAAGTCACATAATGTCACTTCTATCATACTCCATTGGCCTAAATAGCCACAAAAGTCCACCAGTTTCAAGGAAAGGAAGCAGAGGCTCTACCTCTAATTGTAAGGACGGTCAAAGTGACACTGTAAGAGGAACATGTGGGATGGAAGATAGTTGCCACTATCTGTGGAAAATACAATCTGTCACATACATTTCACACATCTATTGGCCATTCCATGTAGTGCCTAAGCTCATTATTTGTCTGTTTTTCTGCTGGGTTACCATCGCTTCCCTTACTAATTGGTAAAATATATTCTGAATGCTAGGGTTTTTTAAATTAAAAAAAATTTTTTTGCCAGACATATATCTTGCAAATATTTTCCCCCCATTATTCTGATGCTTGCCTTCTCATTCTTTTTTTTTTTTTTTTTGAGACGAGTTTCGCTCTTGTTACCCAGGCTGGAGTGCAATGGCGCAATCTCGGCTCACCGCAACTTCCGCCTCCTGGGTTCAGGCAATTCTCCTGCCTCAGCCTCCCAAGTAGCTGGGATTACAGGCACATGCCACCATGCCCAGCTAATTTTTTGTATTTTTAGTAGAGACGGGGTTTCACCATGTTGACCAGGATGGTCTCGATCTGTTGACCTCGTGATCCACCCGCCTCGGCCTCCCAAAGTGCTGGGATTACAGGCTTGAGCCACCGCGCCCGGCCTGTCTTTTTTTTTTTTTTTGAGACGGCATCTCACTCTGTCACCCAGGCTGGAGTGAAGTGATCACAGTTCACTGCAGCCTCCATCTCCCAGGCTCAAGCAATCCTCCCACCTCAGCCACCTGAGTAGCTGGGACTATAGGCACTATAGGGACCATGCTCAGTTACTTTTTTTTTTTTTTTTTGAGATGGAGTCTCGATTTGTTGCCCAGGCTGGAGTTCAGTGGCACAATCTTGGCTCACTGCAACCTCCGCCTCCCATGTTCAAGCAATTCTCCCTACCTCAGCCTCCCGAGTAGCTGAGATTACAGGTGCCAGCCACTACACCTGGCTAATTTTTGTAGTTTTAGTAGAGACAGGGTTTCACCATGTTGGTCAGACTGGTCTCGAACTCCTGACCTCAGGTGATCTGCCTGCCTCAGCCTCCCAAAGTGCTGGGATTACAGGCATGAGCCACCATGCCCGGCCGGCCAAGACTTATTTTGATGGTGCAATATATCAAATTTTTCTTTTATGGTTAGTCCTTTTTGTCTTAAGAAATCTTGGCTTGGCCATTGCACTCCAGCCTGGGTAACAAGAGCAAAACTCCGTCTCAAAAAAAAAAAAAAAAAAAAAAGAAATCTTGACTATGTCAAGGTCATAGAAGCATTCCCTGCTTCCTCTATAAACTTTATGTTTTGAGTTTTTACATTCGAGTTTTACATCTGTGGCCCACCCCAAACTAGGCTTGGTATATGGAGTGAGGTAGGGGTTGCAATTCAATTTTTTTGAGACAGAGTCTCACTCTGTTGCCCAGGCTGGAGTGCAGTGGCACAATTTTGGCTCACTGTAACCTCTGCTGCCCAGGTTCAAGTGATTCTCCCGCCTCAGCCTCCCAAGTAGCTGGGATTACAGGTAGCCTGCCACTATACCAGGCTCATTTTTGTAGTTTTTAGTAGAGTCAGGGTTTCATCATCTTGGCCAGGCTGGTCTTGAACTCTTGACCTTTTGATCCACCTGCCTTGGCCTTCCAAAGTGCTGGGATTACAGGTGTGAGCCACTGCGCCCAGCTGCAATTCAATTTTTTTTCCCCAATAGAGACCCAGTTGTTCCAGCACCATCTGTTTCTTTCTCCCTTGAATCGTCTTGGTGCCTAGAATTACCTTTTGAGGTGTATCAAATGATATCACTCCCTTTTCAAAGCCCTTCAGTGGTTTCCCACCTCAGAATAAAGGCCAAAATATACCTCATTAAGGTTCTACATGATCTGAAAGATGAGATCCTGACCTCATCTCCTGATACCCTGACTTACTCCCTTGCTGCAAACACCCTGACCTTGCTCTTCTTTTTTTTTTTTCCGAGACGGAGTCTCACTCTTGTTGTCCCAGGCTGGAGTGGTGTCGTGATCTTGGGTCATTGCAACCTCCGCCTCCTGGGTTCAAGTGATTCTTCTGCCTCAGCCTCCTGAGTAGCTTGGGTAACAGGCATGCGCCACCACTAATTTTTGTAATTTTGGTAGAGACAGGATTTCTCCATGTTGGTCAGTCCGGTTTTGAATTCTTGACCTTAGGTGATCCGCCTGCCTCAGCCTTCCACCTTGCTCTTCTTTGATCATGCCAGACACTCTCCCACTTCAGGGCCTTTGTACGGAAAGCTCTTCCTTCAGATATCCGTATGCCTCATTCCGTTACTTTCCTTAGTGCTACCTTCTCAATGAGACCTTCTTTGAATACCCCAAAATTTCAGCACCCTCCCACACTTATTTCTTTGACTTCTTTTCCTTATGACTTACCATTATCTAACAGACTGTATATTTTTGTTTCTACTGGAATGTAAGCTTGAACGGCTATTCATTCATTTTGTTCACTCGTCTCTCTAGCATCTAAGACATGCTTGGTACATGGCAAGCATTTGATAAATTTATTAAATGAATAAGAATATTGAAGCCCAGAAAGATGAAGTTACTTGCCTAAGATAACACAGGTAATAAACAACAAAGCTGAAATTTATTTATTTATTTTCGTTTTATTCTTTTTTCCAGTAATGGCTATAAGCAAAAAGCTGAAATTTAAACCAAATCTGCCTTACTTCAGAATCTAAGTTCTTAAGCCTGAGAGATGGGCTCCATTACTAAGTAGGGCTCAGTACACTGGTACAGAGCTGCAGTGAACCTGGCAGCTTCCTCCAACTTTTTTTTTTTTTTTTAAGAGATGGGGTCTTGCTGTGTTGCCCAGGCTGGCCTCAAACTCCTAGGCTCAAGCAATCCTCTCTCACCTCAGCATCCTGAGTAGTTGGGACTACAGGTGTATGCAACTGCACCCTGCTCGCCCCCTCCACCTTCTGCCTGTGATGGAGCCAGGTGTTCCAGGGCTGGGGTCTGGCCTCAGTATCTTGGCCAATCAGTCATGCCCAAGGCTCTACTGGGGGCAAGGCCAGTGTGCTGTTGCCCCCCAGTGGCTAGGGTGGGGAAGAACAGGCTAAAAGCTGCCTTGATGCTAAAGGGGAGGGACCTGGTTGGTTGTTGGTTCTCAATCTCTCTCCTCACAGAAGACACAATGCTGGCGTGGGCATTAAGAGATCTTTATTTTACCAGAAGGGACAGGCAGTGGGGCAGTGCAACATCCAAGCCCCAGACCAGACATGCAGCATCCACATGCAGGAAGAGCTACACAGGCTGGGGCAGAGCCAGGGTGGGGAGCCGGGACCACTGGACACCCACAGCACCCCTGCCAGGACGCTTGTGTCCTGGGCTCTTCTGACTCCATTGGAGCAAGGAGGCAGAGGATTGGGCTGCTTCCTCATGACTGGAATCCTATCACTCTGGCCAGGCAGAAAGATAGCACAAGGGCTCTGGGGTCTGGCCAGGCTACAGCACTTGATTCTTTACAGGGTTGGCACAGCCTTGCCCACTGGAAGGGCCCAAAACCCAGGACACTGCAGCCCTAGCAGGAAGGTCTACATACTTTTCTGTCCCCAACAGGGCTGGACCCTGATCTCAGAAAACTTAGCAGAGTTGGAACCAAGCCCCACTGCCCCAGCAGGAACATGCCCATGAAGAGTCCTTCCCTGAGCACAAGCAGGGGCCTCCTAAGGCAGTAAGAAACTGAGGAAGCTGCTGTAGGCAGGAGGCCTTGCCTCTGTGCCCTTAGGGTGGGGGAGAGAGTACAGGGTATGAGTGCCAGCCGGGGCCTGGGGCAGATGAGGGGAAGGACAGTGGCTCTGGACCCTACAGGCCATGGCTGCCCAGGCCTAGAGGGGCAGCAGCAGGTGAGGTTGTGGGCTTCCTGGGGCAGGGTTTAGGGCTGGGAAGACCAGTCCAGGAGAGGGGACAGTGACCGTCCTACCCAGAACCCCTGCCCATGCTGAGTTCTGGCCAGGGCCATAGGGAGGACGGACAGATACACAGAGAACTTCAAGGCACCAGGATTCTGAGGAGCAGTGGGGCCACCCCCCATAGACAGAGAGTAATTGTAATAAACATCTTCAGCTTATACTACATGATGTGCATGGGGGGAAAGAAAAAGACAAAGGAAGACACACAGGGAGATGAGACAAACCTGATGAAAGTGGCAGTGAACGTGGGGTAAAGGAGAGGAAGAGGAGGAGGTGGACAGAGACAGGAGAGATAGGAAGACAGCCAGAGATGGCCTGAACACACAGCACTTCTGGTCCCTTCAAGATAAGGCACCAGAGTCAGTAACATTCCCGTTGTTCCTGTGGGATTAAAACGGGTGCTGAAGGGAGGACTGGGTGGCTGCCGAAGAGAGTGGGCCTGCAGGAGCCTCATACTTGGACACCGGTGGCCTTCTTGATCAGGGGTATCTGCAAGGATGGGAGATGCCATGAGGCTCCAGAGCCCAGGACCACTCTGCCTGGGCCTGTCCGATGGGCTGCCCAGGCAACCCCACTGCTGCAGCTGGGCAGGCACACACCTTAGATAGGTCCACGCCCGTGAGGGCATGCACAGAGGCAGGCAGCTCGGCCAGCAGTCGGTTCACTTCTGATGTGACCTTGCTGTTGTCCCCACTGAGGACCACAATCTCATCGACTTTGGTAAGTGGAGCGGCGATTTTGGCAGCAATCTAGGAGGTAAGAGTGGGAGGAGAGACTGGTTGGAGCTGACTCCGTCCCCAGCCCAGTCCAGCATCTCTCTCCCTCCCTTCCTCAACTCACTCCAACCCCAAAGCAGCCTGGGTGGCCCTTAGTCTAGCATGGTAAGAGAGGCTCTGTGGGTCAGGGATGGCTTAGGCCTGTTGTAGGGTTCCTGCCCTACAGGGGGACAGGACACTTCTCTTTTAACCCTTCTTTTTTTTTTTTTTTTTTTTTTTTTTTGAGACAGAGTTTTGCTCTTGTTACCCAGGCTGGAGTGCAATGGCGCGATCTCGGCTCACCGCAACCTCTGCCTCCTGGGTTCAGGCAATTCTCCTGCCTCAGCCTCTGGAGTAGCTGGGATTATAGGCACATGCCACAATGCCCAGCTAATTTTTGTATTTTTAGTAGAGATGGGGTTTCACCATGTTGACCAGGATGGTCTCGATCTCTTGCCTCGTGATCCACCCACCTCGGCCTCCCAAAGTGCTGGGATTACAGGCTTGAGCCACCGTGCCTGGCCCCCCTTTTAGCCACCTGTCCCTGTGTCACTCGCAAAGCCCAGGGAAGTTCTGGCACTTGCCTAGCTAGTCAATCAAGCAGGGACACCTGAACCCTGGGACCCGCCTGGGTGGAAGCCTCACCTGGGGCAGGGCCTCCAGCACCAAGGCCATCTTGGCTGCATCCCCGTATTTCTGGTAGGCTTCTGCCTTGAGCTTCATCCGCTCAGCCTCCGCCTTGCCCATCGCCTCAATGACTGCTGCCTCCGCCTCCCCGATTTTGCGGATCTTCTCAGCCTCTGCCTGTGCCAAGAGGACCTGCTTCACCCTGGGGGAGACCAGGCCGGGCAGGATTAGTGGGACGTACCAGGGTCCCCGCAAGCCTTGCCTGGGGGCCAGTAAACCTTCAAACCCTCTGCTCTGGGGCTGTCAGGGGTGGGAGACATTTGAAGGGCGGGGGTGGCCTAGCCTTCTGGCTCTGGCCAGGGAGAGGCCACCAGCTCCCAGCTGTACGTGGGAGGGGAAAAACCAGGATGCCTTTTATTCCCATGCACTACACTAGGCACTGGAGCCTCCTTTATCTAGGACCCTCAAGGGAATATGGGGTTATTCTCACTTCACAGTGAGTAAGCAGACATGGTGGAGGTGGGAGAAGTGGCTTCCAAACTGTGGTCAGGACAGTAGAAGGCAGAGGAGCCTGACTAAGCCCCGACCGGCACCTGGGCGGCTCTCACTTTTCACCCTCGGCGATCTGCTGGATCCGGTGGGCCTCGGCCTCAGCGGGCCGGCGCACCGTAGCAATGAGCTCCTTGTCCGTGCGCAGGATCTCCTGCGCCTCCACGTCAATCTGCTTCTTGCGCTGCACAACCTCAATCTCAATCTCTTCCTGCCGGATCTTCTGCTGCTCACGGGCCCCCTGCAGCTCGTAGGCCAACTGGGCCTCAGCTGTCTGTGGCAAGAGGGTGACTGGCACCTTAGAAGCTGGTCACCAAGTCCTGATCCCTAAGCCCCAACCCAGGATGCCCTCAGGCTGCTCACCTTGATGTTAACCTCCTCACTGAAGGCCGACTTTTGCAGCTCAAAGGCTCGCTTAGAGTCGGCGATCTTTGTGTCTGCCATGAACTTTACATCTAGCATCTCCTTCTTGCACTCAGCTTCCTGCAGGCAGAAGGGGCAAGTGAGTAAAGCTCCCCTAAGTGAGCATGGTCCTATCACCCCTGAGTTTCCCATCCTTGAACCCACGGACCCGGATGCCTGCGTCCCGTTCAGCCTCGGCCACACCAATGTCAGCATCTCTCTGTACCACAGCAGTCTGTGTCTTGCCCAGGGAGCTCAGATAGTCCACTTTATCATACACGTCCTGGGGAGGAAAGAGGGTATCATAAGCTCAAAGGAGCAGCTAGAGGCACAAAGGTGCTCCTCTAGCCAAGCCACCTTCTCCCAGATGGACACTAGGAGATACAGCTTCCCATCACACAGTACCTTGATGGTGAAGCTGAGGATCTCAATGCCCATGCGGCCAACGTCAGGGGCTGCCACCTCCCGCACCAGCTTGGCAAACTGGTCCCGGTCCTGATAAATCTGCTCTACTGTCAGAGTCCCTGGAGGCAGAGAGATCAGGGGCTGGTTCCCCAGGGACCCAGCCAGCTGGGGAAGGGAGGAGGCATGCATGGAGAGGTTGGGTGCATGCAGGGATGCTGCAGTCTGAGCTGGGCCTTCCTGGAGTATCTTCTCAACAGCATTTAACACTGGGCCTCCTGCTGCAGAGTCCAGGCTGGACGAGAAGTGTCCCAAGCAGCACCAGGTTCCTGAGCAGACTGACAGCCCCCCTAGGCCCAGCCCACCCAATGGCCTCTCCACTCAAGTTACCTGAAGTTTTAAAATGAAATACTTGAGGAAAAATGTTTTACCTTGAAACCCCAGTGAAAGAGGCCCCCTGCCAAGCTCTGCACCCCTCCCCTGCCCTGGCTTAGGAACCCCATGAAGCTCCTCAAAGGCTGGACAGGGCCTCACCGAGGATGGAGCGCAGATGTCCCTCCAGGGTCTGCAGGACGACGTTTTTGATGTCCTGCACATTCTTACCCAGGAATTGCTCACAAGCCACGGCCAGGAGTTCCTTCTCTGTCATGATCTTCACCTGCCAGTGATGACAGAGGCGCTTCAGTCAGGCTGGAGTGAGGCAGACAGAGGCCCCAGACCCACAGGTAGGCAGGGTGGTGGCTGTACCCGCTTCCCTCCTTTTTTCAGACCTGGAGGCCCTGGGGGCTGGAATCTGTCTGAGGCCTCTAGTGGGGAGACAGCAGCACAAGGACTTCCTAATACTGAGAAACTTCACTGCGCTGGCAGCCCCAGGCCCTGCCACGGCCTCTCCTGGGCATTCGGGGCTTGTCTCCCCACTCCTCCAGCTCACTGTCCCCTCACCAGCCAATTCCTCCTTTGCAGGCTTCCAACACATGGGAGACCCTCGGGCTGAGGGGCAAAGAGTATGACAAGGAGAATGAGCAATAGGAACAAAGACAGAGACGGAAAGAGCCTAGACAGGGCAGGAGAGGGTCAGGGGATGTGACCAAGGGTGCCTCTCCTTTTCGAGGTACTCAGCCAACCCCTCGCCGAGGCCTACAGCATGGCTGAACCTCGCTGCCCTGTGAAGCTGAGAGGTAGATCAGGGTAGGAAGCCCCCAACTAGTCCCCCAGCTGGGAATATGACACAGCCTCCAACTCCCAGAGTCCAGAGCTCCTCTGCCTCACATGGCCTCTCTCTCTGGGCCCCATCCCGCCCACCCCATACCCAGGGAACAAGGAAGGCCTGGATTTTGGGGCTTGGCATTTCCAACACCTGCAAAGAATGAGGGTGGGGTTAGTGAGCCAGGAGCCCTCAGCACTGGTTCGGTCCTTCGTGGGCCCGCTGAGGAAAGAAGGGGTGTCTGTTAGTCCTACTGGGTGGCCAAAAGGGCCAGGTGAGCAAGTTCCAGTGGCGATGACCCAACTCGCCCTCTCTTGTGGGACTTGCCGGGGCTGGGACGCTGGAGAGAGATTGCCCCTGGCTGCCGTCCTCTCCTCCTCCCCCCGAACCCGAGTACGGGACCAGGCAGCTCAATGGACATGCGCGGGGCTGCTGAGTTACTATACCTGGGCGACACCCGTCACAGTTAAAGCTACCCCCTCGGCCGTCTCTACGTCCTCGCAGCGGGGCTGCAACGTCATAATCTCTAGGGAAATCCTGCCAAGAAATGCAAAACAGGGGCATGGGTCTGGGGGCCCAGGGCCTGGGAGTGTTGGGAAAGAGTCTAGTACCTCACGGCTCCAGCTGGGTCCTGGTGAGAAGGGTGGAGGGAGGACTCTCCAAAGGGCTGTAGATGTCTGAGAAGGAGGTGGGCCGGGGGGGAGCTTGGGTGCAGGTGGCCCTAGGGGAAGGAGTAGAAGTGGGCTGTGTATGTGCACACACCCTCTGCTCAAGTCAGCCTGGCTGGAATAGTGAGAAAAACGAAGTGGAAAGAAGTGGCCGTGGGTGGTCTGGGCTGTTGGCAGGGGAGAATCCAGGTGTAGCTGTGTGTATGTTCTAGGATAGCAAGTCAGTGCTGGTCCTCCTGGCCCTGCAGGCCAGTGTGGATGCCATCTGAGCCTCCTGCAGGGGCCCTGACCCATTCCTTGGTCTACTCAGCACTCCAGGGTGCCCCAGGAAGCTGCCTGGAAAGCTCTGCCTGATTGTCTGGCATCCTGGGAGTATGCCCACTGCTGGGCCAAGATGGAAGTGATCCTGTACCTGCCCCTTGCCAGGGAAGACCTGCCTGGTCCCTCCACCTGGCTGTAGTCTTTGACTTGAAACCCACATCTGGTATTAGGCCCGGGTGGGTCACATGGGGAATGTAGATTGAGGTCCCACTAGAGCCTCTTGGCCAAGGAGTGTTAATCCTGGAAACAGTTGTTCTGGCCAGGCAATCTGATTCCTCCAGGGTCCACAGTCACCCAGCTTAAAAGGGATCTGGGCATTTGCAGATGTTACAAGTGTAGGAGTGGGTTTGGAGGGGGACAGGACTGCATCAAATGGGGTGCTGAGGGAGGCCTGGACTCTACTTCCACACAAGGTGCTCTGAGCCTCTCAGGCCTCTGCACCTCCCATGGCTACAAGGGCTAATGAGATGGGGATGGTCCCCTTCCCCATTGGAGATGGCAGGATGGGTGAAGAAGGGAGTGCCTAAGCAGGCTGATGGGCAATTTAATGCAGAGGGAGAGGATGAGGAAGATGCTGTTTAGCCCTCTTCCAGCCTGGGAACCAGCTGGCACATGGGCTCTGAGGGGGCAGGAGCTTTTTGATGTTCACTCCTGCAGTCCACGTGCTTTGAACTGAGAAGGTGCTCAGTAGAGAGCTGGTGAATGAAGCAATGAAGAGGGGAACCCACATATGGCAGAGTAAACATTTGGAGCTACTTAACACCCAGATCCAAGAATAGATTTCACCAGCTATGGCTGCATGGTAATGAAGGCTTGGCATCCTGGGACACTAACTGGCAGACATGGCAGAGCTTCCAGAATCCCTCACTCTTTCCCCGCTTGCAGGCCAATAGGCAAGGGCAAGGGACCTGGGGATCTACCGGGATCCATCCTGGCACCCAGGGCAGTGGAGGAGAGAAAAGAGGAGAGGGAGAAAGGCACGTTCTTAGGAGGGGAGTTCATCGGCTCCTGTCTGCCAGGCCCCGAAGGGCAGGAAGAGAGAAGGTTAGACATGGAGGAGGAAGCAGGTGGGTTATTACCTGTGCAACCCCTGTTACGAATAGTGGAACCCCCTCCGACGTCTCAATATTCTCACAGCGACACAGGATGGTCATAACCTCCAGAGACAGTCTGAGGAGCAGCCAGGGGTTGGGGAGAGGTAGGGAAAGGAAGGGGAGGAGGGGACACAGCAAACACACACAGTAGTTACCAGACAAGCACTGATGCCTGATGCCTGGAGGGTAGACATGCTGTCAGTAACCCAACCCCCAACTGCCAGCTTAGCCGAGGGCTGCAGGAGAGCAGAGACCCCCCATGCTGGCCTGTCTCTGGTCTCTTCTCTAGTCCCCAAACCATTCCAGTGAGGAGTTGCTGGGCTGGGGAAGATGCCTGCTGCCACCCTGGGCCTGCGGCATGAGGTTGGGAGGCTTATGCACAGGGCACCCAGGTTGCCTGCCACCTCACTTTCCCAGGGATCCTGTTAACAACCTGGGGGACTGAGCCTTAGCCCCTACCGTCTTCACACAGGTAAACCAGTGTTTCCAGAAATTGGGAGTGGGAGGCTATTCTGGGGACTCCTGAGCTTTAGCAAACGCTGAATCCACCAGGTCTGCACTATCTATCACTAAGAAGGCAAGGCGAGGCCAGAAAAGCCCAAAGAAAATTTGGATGTTCTGATGTGGGGGTCAAGGAAGGCTGGGGGAGAAAGTGTGCTCCTGCCGGAAAACTCAGGGACAACCAGGAGATAAGGGAGAAATTTAACTGGGAATTTCCAAAGTTGGCCAGGGGCAGAGAGAAGATTATTGGCAAAGAAATCAAGGTGCCTCAAAGCTCTCTGGCTCATTCTCTGGCTAGGCCTCCCTAGGCAGTGTGTGTATAGGGTGGCTGTCTAGGCAGAGGCCAGGCTGTGGACGGTATGGAAAGTTTCCCTAAATCAGAGGAAGGAAGAGAGGACAGAGGCCAAGGGTGAAGGGGCAGAAGCAGGTGGAGGGGGTGAGAAGGAACAGCAGGTGATGTGCAGCTCCCATCTCAAGCCGGGGAGGGTCATCTTCAGTGCCAGCCCTGGGGCTCTGGCCATGCAGACATGCAAAGGTTGCCTTCATTCAAGCCTCTAACACTAGCATCCTTGGGCCTGAGAGGACTCTTGACCTGGCTCAGACAGGAACCTACCAAGCTCTCTTCTGGGGAAGGAGAAAGGGAAATAGGGAGAGGGAGGGATGAAGGGTAGCAGGGAGGAAAGAAGGGAGGCTGCAGTTCAGATGCCAAGGGTGGAGAATTGCTCAGGTAAGGAAGAGAGAGCTGCCCACATCAGGGCCTTGGGGTAGTATAGGATGTAGCAGCAAAGTGCAGCAGGATGGGTCACTGAGCCTATAAGAAGAATGGCTGACCCCAAGGCACGCGACAGCTGCAGAAAGGACCTTGAGAGGGAGGCTGAATATCCAGGCTATTAGAAGCCTCTACTCTGACCTGAGAGGCTCCTGAAAGCCTAGGGACATAAAGGCCCCAGCCTGTGGAGATGTCCCCCAAGTAGGCTGGGGACTGGGGAAGGTGATGACCCCAGAAAAGGGGATAAGAGGGAAAGGACTACTGGCTCAGACTACCCAGTCAGTGGGACCACAGGGAGGATGTGGAGCCTGGGTGTGAGGTCGGTGTCCTGGGAAGAGATACAAGGTCCCTTACCTCTAACTTCCAAACCTGCTGTCAGAAAGGATCAGCCCTTCTGTCCTGGCTCTGCTCCCTGGAGCAAGAAGGGAGAGCAGAGGACCAAGAATATGGAGAAAGGGCTGCAGGAGACTTGCCCTAGCAGTGGCTACCCACACAGGACAGGTGGGCCTGGCTGCAGGTCGAGGCATCTGTACAAGATACTCTGTTGTGCTGGGAGTGCACAATGTGTAGGGTGGTGGTGTGTCTGGAGAGGGCTCCCCATGGCTTCTGACAGGCCACTGGCCCACTCAGATGTGTCCAGGATCCTCTCGAGTAGAGGCTATGGCCACTGTCGATTACTCTGACAATCTGAGCCTTGGATATTACTCACCTCTGGCCAGGTAAAGTGGGGGGAGAGGTGGGAGAGTGGAGCAGTTACTGGGAACCAGTGAAGTTAATCCGTTGTGCCATGCTTCCCATTCCCCCAATCCTAGTAGATGTCCTCAGGCTCCCAGGAGCCTCAAGTGCTAGCAGCTCAGTGCAGACATGAGCTGCTGATGGGTGGGGGCTAGGCAGAGGGGGTTTCCACTGGAATCTCCATGATTTCCCCTGTGGGGTGACTGACCCCCTTGCAACATGCCCACCAGCTCTGCTGCCCTTGTTGCCTGGGTCCTGGTTGGGAAGGGTCTGCTCCTCCCCTCCACCTCCCATAATCAGGAAGGGGGTGATCCTGGAAAGGTAGCTGGCATGCCTCATCTGCTGGGTGGGAGATGAGGTGGCAGGAGAGGCCAGGTCTGCCCTGCCTTGGGCTCTGCAGGCAGCAGAAGGTAGAGCTGAATGGTGGGCCCTCTGGGGAGCTGAAAACTCACTTCCTCTAGTCAGTCTTTCCAGACTGATTTAGGAGGTCTAGACCTGTCTTACCCCTGATCCTAGCACTAATTCGTTACGTCCCCACCCCTGTCTCTAACTCATCACTGTCACAGGACCACTTCTGAGTATATATCCATTATCTGCCACGTAGTCCCTGCCTGGATTACCCCAGGGCCTACATAGGTAAAGGTGTGCATGGGGTCTCTCCTGGTTTTCCTCTCTTATATGCCCATGCCAAACTGGGCATATAATAAAGACTTCTTAAATAACTTTAAGCTATGATTAGGAAATCAAGATTCTGCCTGGGCATGACCCTGAGTTCTTTGGGACAGAAGTAATGCCACCTCCAGTGGAAAAAAGAATGCCCACTAAGAAGGGGGCACCCATGACAGACTTTCCTGATACATGTCTCCTGCATCCCTGCCCAATCCATCTCACCTGCTTCTTAGAAGGCCCCGCCTACCAGAATGGAATGTGGAAATGGTAGATGTTCTAGCTGACCCTTGGGGTAAAGCAGAAGAATGCTATAAGTCCCTCTCTCCCTGGCCCACTCCATGACAGGTTCTAGAGCCCCCAGGTGCTTACCTCTGAGTGTCGGAGATACACCACCAGGCCCAGGCCCAGCCGCCAAACACGTACTGTTTATAGTCGGAACCACAACAGCCCCCTGGGGAGCAAAGCAAACCACCCCAAGTCAGTTGGTTCTTGGGTCTGTCTACTCCCCAGCCCACTGATAGCAAATTTTGTCCTTTACCTGCTCTGATACTTGACAACGTCTACTGTTGGGTGCCTCGTGCCGAGGTTACACACAAATGAGAGAGAAGTTCTCCCTGCCGTTATGGGACTTAAAATCTAGCTTGGTACACAGGCAATTTACATAAAGAGAAGGATACCCAATGAATAGTTGAGAATGTAAGTGCTTACAGAGAACAGAACAGAGCAAGACAATGGGCAGAGGTGATCTGGAAAAGCTTCCCCCACTTCTTTTTGTCAAATAAAGTCTCATTCTGTCACCCAGGCTGGAGTGCAGTGGCATGATCTTGACTCACTGCAACCTCTGCCTCCAGGCTCAAGCAGTTCTCCTACCTCAGTCTCTTGAGTAGCTGGAATTACATACATGCCTACCATACCACACCCGGCTAATTTTTATATTAATATTAGAAACAGAGTTTCATCATGTTGGTCAGGCTGGTCTCACACTCTTGGCCTCAGGCAATATGCCTACCTTGGTCTCCCAAAGTGCTAGGATAACAGGTGTGAGCCACCTCACCAGGCCAGCTTCCCCCCACCCTTTTTTTTTTTTTTTTTGAGACAGTTGGAATTAACTTGGGGTTAAACTATTGAAAAGAAAAAAAAAAAAAAAAAAAGAATTAGGCCAGGCGCGGTGGCTCATGCCTATAATCCCAGCACTTTGGGAGGCCGAGGCAGGTGGATCACGAGGTCAAGAGATTGAGACCATCCTGGTCAACATGGTGAAACCCCGTCTCTACTAAAAATACAAAAATTAGCTGGGCATGGTGGTGCACACCTGTAGTCCCAGCTACTTGGGAGGCTGAGGTAGGAGAATTGCTTGAACCCAGAAGGTGGAGGTTGCGGTGAGCTGAGATTGTGCCATTGCACTCCAGTCTGGGTAATGACAGCGAAACTCCGTCTCAAAAAAAAAAAAAAAAAAAAAAGAAAGAAAAAGAAAAAAAAGAATTAAAAAAGAGAGAGAGAGAGAAAAAAAAAAAGAGAGACAGAGTTTTTGATCTTGTTGCCCAGGCTGGAGTGCAATGGTGCAATCTCAGCTCACTACAACCTCTGCCTCCCACATTCAAGCAATTCTCCTGACTCCCTGAGTAGCTGGGATTACAGGCATGCACTACCACACCCAGCTAAATTTTGTATTTTATTAGAGACCCGGTTTCTCCATGTTGGTCAGGCTGGTCTCGAACTCCCAACCTCAGGTGATCTGCCCACCCTGGTCTCCCAAAGTGCTGAGATTACATGTGTGAGCCACTGAACCCAGCCCATTATTTTTTAATTTTTATTTTGAGAGGGAATCTCGCTGTGGACAGGCTGAATGAAGTACAGTGATGCAATCTTGGCTCACTGCAACTTCCACTTCCTGGGTTCAAGCGATTCTCCTTCCTCAGCCTCCTGAGTAGCTGGGAATACAGGCTCATGCTACCACACCCAACTAAATTTTTTCTTCTCAGGATGGAGTCCTGCTCTGTCACCCAGGTTGAAGTAGAATGGTGTGATCTTGGCTCACTGCAACCTCAGCCTCCTGGGTTCAAGCAACTCTCCTGCCTCAGCCTCTCGAGCAGCTGGGATTACAGGCACGTACGTACCATCGTGCTGGGCTAATTTTTGTATTCTTATTAGAGACAAGGTCTTGAACTCCTGACCTCGTGATTGGCCCACCTCAGCCTCCCAAAGTGCTGGGATAATAAGCATGAGCCACTGTGCCTGGTCCAGCTTCCATTTTTAATTAATTCATTCGATAAAAAAGTATGCCCTGGCTGGGCGTGGTGGCTCACGCCTGTAATCTCAGCACTTTGGGAGGCCAAGGCAGGCAGATCATCTGAGGTCAGGATTTCAACACCAGCCTGGCCAACATGGTGAAATCCTGTCTTTAAAAAAAAAAAAAGTATGCCCTGCAGTTCACCTGTTATCACGGTGGGTGTAGATAGAGAGGGAACGCAGAGGGGAGCCACACTGTGGGGCTTGTGGGAAGGAAGGAATAGTCTTCCAGTCAAGGTGGTGGGGCTTGCTCTTCTGCCTAGCAGATACATCTCAGTGAGGCTGGTTCTCTAGTTCCAGAATATTCAGAATGACTTTGTTCCTCTCATGGGAGTGGGTGAAGGCTAGGCCTCGAAACAAATGCTAACTTGTGGCCGGGCGCAGTGGCTCATGCCTATAATCCCAGCACTTTGGGAGGCCGAGGCAGGTGGATCACGGAGTCAAGAGATCGAGACCATCCTGGTCAACAAGGTGAAACCCCGTCTCTACTAAAAATCCAAAAATTAGCTGGGCACGGTGGTGCACGCCTGTAGTCCCAGCCACTTGGGAGGCTGAGGCAGGAGAATTGCTTGAACCCAGAAGGCAGAGGTTGCAGTGAGCCAAAATTGTGCCATTGCACTCCAGTCTGGGTAACAACAGCAAAACTCCGTCTCAAAAAAAAAAACGAAAACAAATGCTAACTTGTGGTGCCAATGGGCTAAGTGAAGAGAAAGCAAAAAGGCCTAAAAAGGAAGTGGTTCTTGGGAAACAGTGTGTCAACTATACAGAATATCTAATTCAGCCACAACCCAGATCCATGCTGTAGACATGTTCCCTATACAGAAATGAAAAAAATCAATTCTTGAGATTCTTGTGGTAAACTCTCGTTAATGCCAAAATTCCTTATCAAGTTCAAGGAAACCTTCATAAAACTGGACAGGTAGTTAACTTGCAGTGCAAAAAAATGTACAGGAAACAGAATTCAAAGAAAATACATGATCTGGGAAAAACCAGAGTGTTTTCTTTTCTTTTCTTTTCTTTTCTTTTTTAGAGACAGGGTCTCATTCTGTTGCCCAGGCTGGAGTACAGTGGTGCGATCACGGCTCACTGCAGCCTTGATCTCTTGGGCTCAATCGATCCTCTCACCTTAGCTTCTTGAGAGCCGGAACCACATGTATATGCCACCAGGGCTGGCTGATTTTTTGTGGAGACAGGGTTTCACCACATTGCCCAGGCTGGTCTCGAATTCCTGGGCTCAAGCGATTCACATGCCTTGGCCTCCCAAAATGCTGGGATTACAGGTGTGAGCCACTGAGACCAGCCAAGCATTATCATTTCCATCTTCACAAAGTTAGGTTTTCTAACCCAACCTCAAAAGGTTGTTTGATTCCCCAGGTCAAGGGTCTGGGGGAGTTTCATACAGTTGGGTTAGTTCCCTCACAGCAGGGAACAAGGCAAGTGGAGGCGGGGGCAGAGGGCAGATCACACAGTGTCTTGTACGTCAGGCCAAGGAGCTGTGTGACAGGAAGCCAGGTTACCCTTGAGAAACATGCCACTTTGCACGAGGAGGAAGACACTGGGATCAGGGACACTGGGTAGAAACCTCTTGCAGTAACCCAGGCAAGGCATGGTGGCTGATATGGGCAGACAACTTCTAGAGCAGTCTTATCCAAGACAACTTTCTGAGAGGGTAGGAATGTTCTATATCTTCTTCTGTGTTTACACTGTGCAGTACAGCAGCCTCTAGCAATATGCAACTGTTGTGCACTTCAAATGAGACTAGTATGACTGGGGAACTGAATTTTTTTTTGAGACGGAGTTTCACTGTTGTTACCCAGGCTGGAGTGTAATGGCATGATCTTGGCTCACCGCAACCTCTGCCTCCTGGATTCAAGCAATTCTCCTGCCTCAGCCTCCCGAGTAGCTGGGACTACAGGCGTGCACCACCATGCCCAGCTAATTTTTGTATTTTTAGTAGAGACGGGGTTTCACCTTGTTGACCAGGATGGTCTCAATCTCTTGACCTCGTGATCCACCCGCTTCGGCCTCCCAAAGTGCTGGGATTATAGGCGTGAGCCACAGTGTCCGGCCCCCTGTATTTTATTTTTTTGAGACGAATTCTCGTTTTGTTGCCCAGGCTGGAGTGCAGTGGCATGATTTCGGCTCACTGCAACCTTTGCCTCTAGGGTTCAAGTGATTCTCCTGCCTCATCCTCCCAAGTAGCTAAGACTACAGGTGTGTGCTACCACCTCCAGCTAATTTTTTGTTCTTTTAGTAGAAACAGGGTTTGACCATGTTAGCTAGGATGATCTCCATCTCCTGACCCCATGAGGCTCCCACTTCGGCCTCCCAAACTGCTGGGGTTACAGGTGTGAGCCACCGTGCCCAGCCTGAATTTTTTTTTTTTTTAAGATGAGGTTTCACCATGTTGGTCAGGCTGGTCTTGAACTCCTGACCTGAGGTGATCCACCCGCCTCAGCCTCCCAAAGTGAGGGGATTACAGTTGTGAGCTACCATGCCTGGCGAGCCTGAATTTTTTATTTGATTAATTTAAATGGTTACCTGTGGCTAGTGTCCACATTGGGTAGTGCAGCTCTACAGTCTGGGTTTGAGTGGGTGGTGAGGACAATGATAGAAACAGACACTATGGAGAGAACAGGAAACTAGGGACAAATTTTGGGTGGGTGGAGGCAAGGGAACAAAGACCTGCTCCACCCCACCCCCAGTGGGGAAGGCTTGAAAGGTTGGAGAGCTGGCATCTAATACTGCTTAACAGGCAGGTAACTCAGTTTTCTGGGTCTGCTGCCATGCATGAAGTTCCAGAAGCAAAGCCAGAGGTTCAGGGATCAAAGAGCAGCCCCACAGTGTGGGCAGGGAACAGTAAGAGGGGGTCTTGGATATCTGTTTTGCTGAGGTGGAACTACCTGCTTACAGGGCTGCTGTTCAAGGTAAGCCATTCCAGGCTTTTCTGACCTGGGAGGTAGAATAGGGTGGCATCTGAGGACAAGCACTCAATCTGAAACCCAAACCATCTCAGGATCAAGTGAAACTGGAAGGGTGCCAAAAATCACAGCTTATTCTAGATCTTCTGGCTTGGTGGGGGCTGGGGCATGGCTACCTTGGGCTAGCTCCAGGGGACTTCTCAAAATATGCAGTGGGAAGGTGGTAGTGGTAGGGGGTAGGATGAGGAGGTGGGGTGGGGGATGGACAGTATAGATGGCCACCCCTTAGCTTACTTTTTTTTTTTTTTTGAGATGGAGTCTTGCTCTGTCATCCAGGCTAGAGTGCAGTAGTGCAATCTCAGCTCACCGCAACCTCCACCTCTGGGATTCAAGTGATTCTCCTCCCTCAGCCTCCTGAGTAGCTGGGACTACAGGCATGTGCCACCATGCCCAGCTAATTTTTGTATTTTTAGAGACAGGGTTTCACCATGTTGGCCAGGATGGTCTCGATCTCTTCATTTCATGATCCACCTGCCATCACCTCCCAAAGTGCTGGGATTACAGGCATGAGCCACTGCGCCTGGCCCTTTTTTTTTTTTTTAGACGGAGTTTCGCTGTGTTGCCCAGGCTGGAGTGTGGTGGCACGAACTCAGCTCACTGCAACCTCCACCTCCAGGGTTGAAGCGATTCTCCTGCCTCAGCCTCCTGAGTAGCTGGGATTATAGGCACCCACCACCATATCTGGCTAATTTTTTTTCAGTAGACAAGGGTTTTGCCATGTTGGCCAGGCTGGTCTTGAACTCCTAAACTCAGGTGATCTGCTTTCCTCGGCCTCCCAAAGTGCTGGGATTACAGGCATGAGCCACCGTGCCCAGGCCATCCTTTACCTTTAACTTATTCTTTGACTTGGGGAGCAGGCTGCCACAGCTCAAGCTGGGCCTTGGCCAAGAGCAACATGGCCAGGTTCCCAGGGGTAGAAACAACAGGAAGCTGGAACTGCCAAATTGCCCTGCCCCGACCAGCATCCTCCCGGAAAGGCAACTTCCTGTCAGCTTTCTGTCACTCAGCCTGAGCAGCCCTCCCAAGAGGCCAGTTAGGTGCCTCTTCCTTGACTTCCCTAACTCTTACTCATCTCAAGACCTAGAAGTTTCTCCTACTTGTACCTCACTCTTTCTAAGCCAACTTGCTTTCCTTTTCCGTAATTAAGCTGAAGAACCACAAAATACCTTACGATAACCTCTGTTCCACCCCCTTAGCTCCTCCCAAGGACACAGCCCACCACTCTGTCCTCTCAGGAGCACCCCCTGCCCTTCCTGGCTCTCCTCCACCTTCTTTTGTTTTTGAGACAGTGTTGTGCTCTGTCACCTAAGCTGAGTGCAGTGGTGTGATCATAGCTCACTGCAGCCTTGAACTCATGGGCTCAAGTGATTCTCCAGCCTCAGCCTTCCATACACCACCCACCACGCCTGCCTAATTAAAAAGAACTGTTTTTGTAGAGACAGGGTCTTGCTATGTTGCACAGGCTGGTCTCAAACTCTGGGCCTCAAGTTACTCTCCCACCTCGGTCTCCCAAAGTGCTGGGATTACAGGTGTGAGCCACTGTGCCCAGCCCACCTTCTTCCTACTAGTCAAGAAGTCTGTATCTTGGCTGGGCATGGTGGCTCATGCCTGTAATTCCAGCATTTTGTGAGGCTGTGGTGGGAGGACTGCTTGAGCCTAGGAGTTTAAGACCAGCCTAGGCAACACAGGGAGACCCTATTTCTACAAAAAATTAAAAATTAGCAGCCAGGCATGATGGCTCACACCTGTAATCCCAGAACTTCAGGAGCCTGAGGTGGGCTGATGACTTGAGGCCAGGAGTTTGAGAGCAGCCTAGCCAACACAGTGAAGCCCCGTCTCTACTAAAAATATAGAACTTAGCTGGGCATGGTGGCGTGCATCTGTAATCCCAGCTACTCGGGAGGCTGAGGCATGAGAATTGCTTGAACCTGGTAGGTAGAGATTGCAGAGTCAAGTTGAATCACTGTACTCTGGCCTGGGCAACAGAGCAAGACCTTGTTTTAAAAGAGAGAGAAAAAAAAAAACAACTAAGTGTGGTGGTGCACAATTATAGTCTCAGCTACTTGGGAGGCTGAGGTGGGAGGCTTGCTTGAGCCTGGGAGGTGGAGGCTGCAACCTGTGATTGTGCTACTGCACTCTAGTAGCCTGGGTGACAGAGCAAGACTGTGTCTCAAAAGAAAAAAATATAAAAATAAAAGTCCATATCCTACTAGAGGGTTTTAGCCTTTTTTGAGCTACACACCCCTTTAGCAATCCAGCAATGTCTAAGGACCCCTCCTCAAGAATATTTGTTTATCTATCTATCTATTTATTTATTTTTTGAGACAGGGTACACTCTGTTGCCCAGGCTGGAGTACAGTGGTATGATCTTGGCTCAATGCAACCTCTGCTTCCTGAGCTCAAGCGATACTCCCACGTCCGCCTCTAGAGTAGCTGGGACCACATATGTGCCACCAGTCCTGGCTATTTTTTTTTTTTTTTTTGGTAGAGGCAGAGTTTTGCCATGTTGCCCAAGCTAGTCTCAAATTCCTGGCCTCCAAGTGATCCATCTTTCCTCAGGCTCTCAAATTGCTGGAATTACAGGCATGAGTCTGGCCAAGAATATTTATAAATTCATAAAATAAATACATAAGAAATTATATTGAAAGTTATCAAAATTTAAAACAACCAAATGTGTAATACAGTAATATGTCCTTCTTTATTAATACATTAAATAGTAAGATCTAGTGGTAGATTTAATTACTAGCTTAATTTCAAAATACAGAGGCGTGTAAATGGTTTCCTTTTTTTTTTTTTTTTTTTTAGACAGAGTTTGCTCTTGTTTCCCAAGCTGGAGTTCAATGGAACACTCTTGGCGTATTGCAGCCTCCGCCTCCCGGGTTCAAGTGATTCTCCTGCCACAGCTGCCTGAGTAGCTGCTGGGATTACCAGCACACGCCACCATGCCTGGCTAATTTTTTGTATTTTTAGTAGAAACAGGTTTTTATCATGCTATCCAGGCCAGTCTCAAACTCCTGATCTCAGGTGATCCGCCTGCCTCAGCCTCCCAAAGTGCTAGCATTACAGGTGCGAGCCACTGCACTGGCCAATGATTTTCAAGGTACCAGCAATAACTAGTGTGTTAGGAAAATGCCTGCTAATACTATCATGAATTGTTGCCAATATTCATAATCACAGAAAACACTAAATTTCAATGGATGAGAGAAAATAAAATTGTGCTTTCTCAAACCTTACCCCCAACCCTGACCCATGAAAAGAATTCCCCTTTAAAAATGAAAAAGATTGGCCAGGTGCAGTGGCTCACGCCTATAATCCTAGCACTTTGGGAGTCCGAGGCAGGTGGATCATGAGGTCAAGAGATCGAGACCATCCTGGTCAACATGGTGAAACCCCGTCTCTACTAAAAATACAAAAATTAGCTGGGCATGGTGGTGTGCGCCTGTAGTCCCAGCTACTTGGGAGGCTGAGGTAGGAGAATTGCTTGAACCCAGAAGGTGGAGGTTGCGGTGAGCTGAGATTGTGCCATTGCACTCCAGTCTGGGTAACAACAGCGAAACTCCGTCTCAAAAAAAAAGAAAATGATTCCCCTTTAAAATTTTCAAAAGTAGAGAGAAAAGAAGTTTTATGTTACAAACTGAAGGAGGGAGTTAGACATTAAGAAAGGATGGAAAAGATGACTTTGAGATGATTAGCATCCTCCTTCTGAAATTGGGCTGGGTGAGATGCCTCTGGACCTAGATGGAGGTCCAAAGAGCAAAGCAGAAAGGTGGGAGCAGGGGTGGGAGCAGTTGCTCTGCTCTTGCGAGTCCACACCCAAGAGGGAGCTGCATCTCAGCTTGATCATCTCAAATCCCAAGGCACCATTACGCCAGGCATTATCCCCCTGCCTTCTCTGCTTCCCTGACTCCAGCATCCTCAGTTCTCAGCATGGCCTCCTCTTTTCACCCCTAACATAGCTTTGAAGCTAACTACATTGACTTCTGTTCAGAAGAGCAGGTTCTCGGTAGCTGGAAGGCACAGAGCAGCCCATCTCTGGGGCACTTTTTGGCCCTCAGTCTCAAGATTTTTCACAAAGATGGAATTGGAGCTTTTGTCTTTTCAGCCCAGAGTTTGGGTTTCCTGAAGAAAATTCCACAAGAAAAACAAAAGTGCAGTGCAGATTCTGGTCTCTAAAAGCCTTCTGTAAGGGTGGGGACTGGGAGACAGGTCTAGGTCTTATAGAGGGGCAAGTCTGGCCTCAGTGTTCTCTGGGGGTCTCCCTCCTGTCCCCAAGGCTACTTCTGGTCTTCAGGGGGGTAGGGTACTTATTAGATTGATTTTGAGATTCAAAGTGACCCAGAAGCCATGTTTTGGAATGAAAATTCCCAGTGGACTTATCATACCTTTCCAAGGGATGGCAGCTATAAGGCCTGGCTCAGGGCTTCTACCTCCTTCTATTTCTTCTGTAGCCACTTCTACCAAATCTGCACGCAGGCTGAAAAACTCAGCACTGATAGTGGGAAGACAGACAAGAGAAATTCCTCCAGCTCCAGGCCGTCAAACTGTCAGGCACCAGGACCCCCTCCCCCAGCTCCTGAGAGTCAGGAGCTGCACAATCTGGTGGCTTGCAAGGTGTCAGTCGCTTCCCAAAGCACCCCAATATAAAATCTCAATAGCAACTCATTTTCTCCATTACTGCAGTCCCCAAGCCCCACCTAGACAGAAATTCTGGAGCTTGCAGCATTTTGCAATCCCGAGCTGCACAGCCCAGAGCCGGGTTTCCCAACCTGTAGAGGCCGCACCCGCGTCGCCTGGGCGGGCAATGCCGGTAATCCCCAACAAGCCCCAGCCTGCTCGGAATTAACGGGTCAGACTGTGCCCAGAGAAAGGACCTATGTCTCAGGGCCCCTCCCCTACAGGCACCTGCCCTCCAGGGCTGCGCGACCCGTCCCAGTCCCGAGCGGTGGAATCCAGCCAAACCTCTGCGTTCCCGGAACCACCAGCTCCCTCTCTCACGGAACCCCGCGACTTCAGTTCGGGAACCCCAAGCTCACGGTGGAGCCCGTGAGGGGGAGGCCCGGCCTAGGGAGGGGGATGGGGAGGAGAAGCAAACACTAGAAAACACGCAGCGGGAGGGGGAGCTCACGCAGCAAGGAAAGCATGAGCACAGGGGGGTCTCTCCTGGGGACCAGCGCCCTGTGCGGCGCGGTAGACTCAGGCCCAGGTCTTCCCCGTGCCCTCCCCAGCCATGCATCCACACCGAGCACCCTCCACAGCGCCCACCTCCCTCGCCGCCCCCTCACCTGAAACCACCAGCGCCTCGTTGGGCCCCACTGTGTGGCAATTGCCCATAGCGCCGGCGGCACGGAGGGCCCTCAGGACCACAGAGACCCGGACAGCAGTAGCGGGTCCGAAGCGCCGGCCGCGCCCAGCCTATCCCGCCACCCTCAGCGGCCGGCTGCCCGCTCGCCCGCGCCCCTCTGTGGTCGCAGCCCCGCCGGAAGTGTGGCGGCGGAGGGCGGGGCCGGCGCATTGAGGCAGGAACGAGCGCATCCTGGGCGGTCAATGCGCTTTATTCTAAGGGGCTCCAGATGCAGATAGCCCCAGGCCTGCCTGCAGCCGCCCAGGAGTCCCCTTACTCCCATGAGGCACCTCGATACCAACTGCCCTGCCTTGACTCACTTCCTAGCACCTATCTTATGGCAGTCGGCCCTGAGCTCGAAGCCCTGGGATCAAATCCCAGGCCCTGCTTCTACTCGCTGTGAGACCTTAGGCGAATCCCTTAGATTGGGCGCCTAATCCCGTTTCAAGAACATGGGGGTAATTTACCTAGCTAGATGGTTGCAAAGGGCTCGGTTCACTAATTCTCAATGTTGGCAGTGTATCACATTGCAAGCTCCCTGCCTCTGCTCCAGAGCTGATTAGAATGAACGAGGGTGGGGCCTGGAAATACTAAATCCAAATTCCCAAGAAGCACAGGGTCTAGCATATTACTCCCTATCTCTCCATCTGGGGTTACTGTCACTCTCAGAAAGAAATAATCACCCATTATTCCTTCAACCAGAAAAAGATGTCCAGGGCATAGCTTGGGACCCCAGAAAGTAACCATGGAGGTCAAGATCACAAACCCGTCAGTGTCCAGGGCATGGCCTGGCACACATCCGAGGTTTTCAAGGGCCATAAAGTTCCATGGAAAGCATCCTGGCCTTAGGGTTAGCAGAGCTGGGTTTTAGGCTCAACTTTAGCCTGAATTCGGCGTGTCATCTTAGACAAATCTGGTGAGCTCTGAGGGTTAGGGTAGGATTCAGAAACTGTGGGCTGCTTAGGGTTGGGGGAGCTCAGAGAAGATGGGGCCCCTGAGTCCTCAGGCTGGGGGTCTTCATCTGGTTCAGCATCCTCCATAGGCCCAAGCCCTGCCAGCCTCTTGCTGGCCTCCCATAGCCGATGGGCTGCCTGGTCATCTCGGGCAGCTGGAGGCACCTCTTCCACATGGCAGTTGGCAAAATATCTCCCACTGAGGGGCTCGAGGCCCTCTTGTAGAGCACAGTACAGGGGTGTCTGGGCACCTCCTCTGGGTGCCCGGAGCACCAGCCAAGCCAATGGGAGCAAAAGTGGGCGCAGCCATCCCGGAACATGGCGCAGGAACAGCTCCGAGTTCACAGGCCCTGTAGGCAGGAAGAAGGAAAGGAGTTGGACTAGGTGCAGTGCTATGCATCTATAGTCACAGCTACTGGAGAGGAGGAGCAGGAGGATCGCTTGAACCTAGCTTTTTGGGACCAGTCAGGGCAACAGTGAAACTCTATCTCTTTAAAAAAAAAAAAAGAGTTGGGACAGAGCTAGGAGACCAGGGAGAGAATCTGATTCAGTGGAAACCAGGGTAGTATTTACCAGGTATTCAGGGCTTCTGCAAGATGACTTCACTCATTTCCTGCATGAAGCCTCTTCCCTTCCATCCAAACTACTTGTACACCCCATATCCCAGATTTTGTTCATGCTGTGTCCCATGCCTGAAAAAATTCTCAGTCTCTCTCCACCTTTTCTTCTAGCTCAAGTCCTGTCCCTTGTTTAAGCAGCATTTACTAAGTACTTGCAGTATACCAGCCACTGTTTTGGACATTAGGGATATGGAGTATAATAAAGGGTTAATAAAGGTTAATTGTGATCGTCACTATTATAATTACTAATAAGCCTTAGGCAGTGACTATCTAAAATGTGGTATGGTAATATGAATATGGCAGATATTGTTATCCTGGTAGAACCTCTTCCATAAGACAAAGCCTACCTCTGGATCTCCAATTATCTCACTCAAGAGTAAAAGCCAGAATGCCTACAGTGGACCTCCCTCCAAACCCTACAGGACCTGGTGCTTCTCTTTGACTTCACCTCTTGCTATTCTCTCCACACTAGCCTTTCTCAAGCACACCAGGAACTTCTGCCTGAGGGCCTTTGCACTTACTTTTTTTTTTAGAGACAGAGTCTCGTTCTGCCGTCCAGGCTGGAGTGCATCGACATGATCTCGGCTCACTGCAACCTCCACCTCCTGGGTTCAAGCAATTCTCCTGCCTCGGCCTCCTGAGTAGCTGGGATTCGAGGCACCCACCACTATGCCCAGCTAATTGTTTGTATTTTTATTAGAGACGGTTTCACCATGTTGGCCAGGCTGGTCTTGAACTCCTGACCTTAAGTGATCCGCCAGCCTCGGGCTCCCAAAATGCTGAGATTACAGGCATGAGCCACCACGTCTGGCCCCTTTGCACTTATTTTTGCGCCTTTCTCTCTCTTTTTGGGCATCTCAGTATCTTTTAGGCCTCTGTTCAAATGTTGCCTTTATGGATATATGTCTTCCTTGACTGCCACTCCATATTCCCATTCCATTTGCCACTTGCCGTGCTTCCTCTTTCCTTACAGCGCTCTATCACTACTCCTCATAGTATATATATTTATTTATAGGCTGTCTCCCTCTCCTCCAAACTAGAATGCAAACTCTATGAGGGCAGGGTCTTTGTTTTGTTCACTGCTATATCCTCAGCACTGCAAATAATGCCTGATACATAGTAGGTACTCAGTAAATGCTTCTTGGATGAATGAATAATTATTAGCTATCATCATCATCATATTATAGTCAGTTCAGTCAGTGCAGATGGCTCCTGGGGGTGGGAATCCAGGTCTTATTCATGGCCATTACCACCCCTGCCCCAGGGCTCAGCACCTAGGCTTATGGTGTGAGAAGAACCTAAACCAGTAGAGCCTGCTTCCAAGATCAGCAAGGAACAGGTCTCTCCTTGGACCATGCTTCCTTCCTGCCCTGAGATTCTGTGACTCAATGAGGGCTGGGGGGCAGGGAGGTGGAAATGGTGTGGGGGCGGGCACAGGATGGGGCAAAGAAGGGAGAGGGGAATCAGGAGTCAAAGAACCAGACCTCACCTGGGTGGGCTGCATAGCAGGTGACGCCAGTGCCCTCAAGCTGGGTGGCAAGCTCCCGGGCAAACAGTACATTAGCCAGCTTACTGTCAGCATATGCCCGCAGCTCCTGCCGCCAGCCCACCACTGGGCGGTCCAGGCGTTTGAAGTCGAGGCGTCCTCGCCGGTGGGCAGCTGAAGCCACCACCACCACTCGGCTAGGGGCACATGCCTTCAGGCGAGGCAGCAGCAGATGTGTCAGCAGAAAGGGACCGATGTGGTTCACCCGAAGCAGCAGGTTAAATGCCTCGCGGGTCCGGCCACAGGAACTGATCCCTGGGGCAGAGGCCAGGTGTGAGCGGCTGCTCTAGAAGGAGCTATGCAGCCTTGGCATCCCTATCTGTGAGATTGGAATAGGGGGCATCCTTCCCATGTGTCCACTGGCCCCAGCAGGGCCCCACTGGAGGGGGCAACTGCCCCTGGCCACCCACCACCCCCCTGCAGGGCCTGCTGCCCCTCACCGGCATTGTGGATGAGGATGTCCAACCGTGGCTCAGAACTCAGGAAGGCAGTGGCAAAGGCCCGCACGGAGGCCAGACTGGCCAAGTCCAAGGCCATGAAGATGACCTCATTGTTCCCACTCTCCTGTGGAGCGGCAAGGGCTGGGCTTGTCACCAGGCACCTCTCTCCTCTTCCCTCTCCCCAGGCACCAAATTCTGAGAGTCCATCTCCTACTGTTTACAAAAATCTGCCCCTGTGTCTTACAGTGTCATAGATAAGCGTGTGGATTCAAATCCTGACCTAGTCTTTTACTAGAGTGTGACCTTGGGCAAGATACTTAATCTCTCTGGGCCTCAGTTCTCTCACTGCATAAAGGGAATAATAATAACAGTACCAATCTCACCGAGCTGTTGTGAGGATGAAAGGAGTTAACATGAGTAAAATACACTCCAGCAGCACTGGGTAGGTATTTGCTATTATTATTATCATCCACTTTCCCCATTACCATTTACCCTAAAATCTCTAAGAGACTTCTCACTGGTCTTCTTTCACCTGTTCTTCCCCCTCCACTCCAGGCTCCAGGCAGCCACAAAGGGGTTCGTTTCAAAGGCTATTCTGCCAGTCCTGAGCCTACTGAGGGCTGTTCATGAGACCTACTGTCCGCTGGTCTCTGCTGCCCCATCAATAAATTCCAAGCTTCTCAACAGGCTCTAGAATGGCTCCAGCCCTGTCATTTGCCCATCTTCCCCATACTTTGTGCTCTAGCCACATTTAATCTTTTTCTCAGATTCTCAGATCAGTCAAGCTTTCTTGCCTCAGGGCCTTTGCTTATGCTGTGCCCTCTGCTGTTCCCTTCCCTACTAATCTTCATTAACTCAAATCCTACTGAACGTTAAACGTCTCAGAACTGCAATTACGGCCTTCAGGAAGCCCTCCCCCGACTCGGCTCTGGTGCGCCTTCCTTGGGTGACCTCAGCGCTCCGTGCACCCCCTCTTCGCGCTGAGCCGCCCGCGCCGCATTCTCCTTCCCGGACCCGGATCCTCCGCAGCCGCTTTGCTGGCTTGTCTGTGTCCCGGCGGGTTCTCGGCTCACAGTCCCACGCGCCCCCGCCGCCCCTCACCTGGCGGAGGTCGAAGGCAGCAGCCTCCCCGCGCTCCCGGCTGCGGCAGGCCAGCACCACGCGTGCTCCCCGGCGGGCCAGCTCCAGGGCCGTCATCTTCCCGATGCCGCTGTTGGCGCCTGCGGACCGCGGGAGAAAGCAGAGCTGAGCTGAGCCTGGAGGGCCGCTGCTCCCGCCGGCCCGGCGTACTCTCCGCGCGCCCGCTGGCTCACACTCACCCGCCTCCGCACTCACCCGTGACCACTGCCGTGCGGCCCCGCAAATTGCCTATGCCGCCGCACGGCGGGGCCTTCACCAGGTTGTAGTAGACAAGCACGTAAGCGCCCAGTAGCAACCCCGCGCCCAGCAGCAGCGCCTCCATGCCAGCCGCGCCTCCCGGTTCCCGCCCAGGCCCCGCGCCGCCCTGGATTGCCGCCAAGCGGCTGCCGATACGCCCGACACAGGCCTGGAACGGCGCCGGGGCTAGTCAGCCTCCGAAGGCGGAGGCGGGCAGGAGGCTGGGCAGGGGTGTGTGTGCGTGCGGGTGTGCGCCGGCCCTGCGAGCGCCCCCTAGGCGTGCGTCGGCGTCCTGGGGGCGTGTGCCTTTGTGGACACCTTTGAGGTGCGTGTGTGCACTTGGGCCCTGGGAGCGCCCCCTAGGTGTGTGCCTGTATGAACTCTTAGGTGCGTGTGTCCACGGGCACCCTGGGAGTGCACGCTAGGTATGTGCATGCATCTGCAACGCTTGTGTGTGAATGAACTCTAGATGTGTATGTGCCCAAGGGCCCTAGGATCACCCTTCGGGTTGTGTGCTTGCCTCTGGATCCTGTGTGTGAGCCCATGTAAGCACCTTGTCAGTATTTGTGTGCCTTCAGGCAGAGTCCGTGCAGGTATGTGCCTGCATCTGTAGTCTCTGTAAACGCGTGTGCTCGAATATCTCCATATGTTTACTCTAGGTGTATGTAGCACAGTCCTTTCCTTTTGAAGTCAGTCTTTTCCTTCTGAAGGTGTGTGCATGAATACACCTATGTCTTTGAGTCTAGTCCTAGATGCTTTTTCCTCTAGGAACAAATCCCTTCCTTTCTCGTCCTTCCTTTCCTCCTTCCTTCCTTCCTTTCTTCTTTCCTTCCTTTCTTCCCTCCCTCCCTCCTTCCTTCCTCTCTCTTTCCTCTTTCTTCTTTCTTTCTTTTCTGAGACAGAGTCTCACACTGTTGCTCAGGCTAGAGTGCAATGGTGCGGTCTCACCTCACTGAAACATCTGCCTCCCAGGTTCAAGCGATTCTCCTGCCTCAACCTCCCAAATAGCTGGGATTACAGGCATGTGCCACCATGCCTGGCTAATTTTGTTATTTTTAGTAAAGATGGGATTTCTCCATGTTGGTCAGGCTGGTCTCGAACCCCTGACCTCAGGTGATCTACCGGCCTCGGCCTCCCAAAGTGCTGGGATTGCAGGTGTGAGCCACCGTGCCTGGCCCTGGCTTTTTTTTTTTTTTTTTTCTGAGACAGAGTCTTGTTCTGTCACCCAGGCTGGAGTGCAATGGCATGATCTCAGCTCACTGCAACCTCCACTTCCTGGTTCAAGCAATTTTCCTGCCTCAGGCTCCAGAGTAGCTGGGATTACAGGTGTGTGCCACCGTGCCTGGCTAATTTTGTATTTTAGTAGAGACGGGTCTTCACCATGTTGGCCAGGTTGGTCTCGAAGTTCTGACCTTCAGTGATCCACCTGATTCAGCCTCTGAAAGGGCTGGCATTACAGGTGTGAGCCTCTGTGCTTGGCCAAATCCTTCAATTTTTTTATCTTCACATCCAGCCCCCAGCTTCTAGGATTCTTCCCTGTTCTCCCCACACAGGCTAGAGGGGACACTGTTCAAGGTGGCACAGGCAGTTAAGGGGTGTCAGAATTCACTCCTTCATTCCCCATCTGTCTTCCCTACCTCAGTCCCACTAATCCCCTCCATGGCTGAAAGGAAAGCAAGAAGAGATAGAGAGTAAAATCTATTATTGCCTTTCAGGAAATTTTCCTTTGTAATGGTCCTCACAGGTGATAGAGATAGGCAGAGAAGCTCCATCACTCACTTATAAGTGACAATGATGGCAAGAAGGATGGGGCCGGCTAGGGACAAATGGGTAAGCGCATTCCAGACCAGAAGGCCATTGCCTGAGAAATTCGTAAGTGCCTAGTATTTGGCACTTATAGTATGCTCAGCAGTGTAGTTAGCCCTAGAAATTCTGAGCAGAAGAAATACAAGTTTCTGCCCTTAGGGGTTTCAAGAAGCCCATCAAGGCAGGGGGATTAGAGTGATGAAGCCTAGATGGGCAGATTAGAGTCAGGAACAGACTTCAGGATTCCAGGGCTAGTTTCCTGTTTAGCTGCATCGTGGATGGTTTCCACTGTAGATGCTGAGGATGAGGCTGGGGATAGAATATTCATTCTCTATCCCTAAGGCAAAATCCTGATATGCAAGCAGGTGCATCTACACAGACACTGCTGGAATGTACACAAAGGTGCTCTCTTCAGGAAAATTTCCTGGAGAAAGTTCCTAAGATCTGGGACGAAAGCACGGTATTTGGTTTAATGAGCATCCCGGGACTTGATAATTAAGTTAATGCAGCAGACTCGTTTTCTGATGAGGAATAGCAGTTGTAGAGAGGTGTGACTGCGAATCACATGACTGGAAGTGGGTCAAGACTGGATTCTACTATCAGTCAGGGTTCTCTGGAAAAAGTCCCCCGGCCAGCAGATGCACCCATGTCCTTCCATTGTCCTACACCCACCCTGACCTGCTTTTCTCCAACATCTCCCCTCCCAAACTTCGCTATGGAAATGAGACCCGTCCAAAAGGTCCCTCACCTGCTGGACCCAGATCTAAGGGAGGGTCTCCTCTAAGGGTGATGACAGGTAGGACAGACAGTCAGAAAACATAATTTGAATTATTTTTGTTTTTTATATACAGAATACAGGAAAGTTTCTGTAAAGTCTAAAACATTACAATTACTATGTACATTGGTACTAGTTGTGGGGGTGGGAGGAGAGGAGGGTATCAGGGGCAGGAGGAAGAGGAGAGAAGTGGCAAGAGAACAAAAAAAGGAGACGAAACAGGTTTACGACAAAAACATTTTTGCTACAATAGACAATTTGAGAAAACGCTCTACCACATGTAGTACTGTACACGGTTTTTAAAAACATTGAAAAAATGTCATCACTAGATGTATTTACACAAAATCCAAATACACTTTTCCTTATTTGAAATAAAATAGATGGACAGCCAGAAAAAGAATTCATTTCTCATTTGTCCATAATACACAGTAGCTACCTGTAGTGCAACCGCTGCAGAAGGGGAAAAAATAACTTGGAGGATGGGAACCATGGAAGGAAAGTGGGTAGCGATCTTTATATTAAATAAAACAATGATATTGTATAGATTTTGCTGTATGAAAACTGTATTTCTTTTAATATAAAACTATTGTCACTGCCACAAAATAGAACAAGTTTCTGATTATTTTACAACGGCGGGCGAGGGGGAGGGAGCAGGAGGTGGGTGGGGAAGGATTTTGTGTTGGAGGAAGTGTCCAGACCATGGGTCTTTCCCTCCCTGCCCACGCTGTTCCTCAGCTCGGGTCTGCCGCTTTCCCACGAAATGTTGAGTACAAATATATGTGCAAATGCCCCCTAGAACTTGAGAAAAGAAAAAGGATTTTTAAAAAACAGTCAAAAGGTTTTCTTCATTTCATGCAAAGATTGTGGTTGAAGGGTTTCTGGTAGAGTATAGAAAACACCCGGGCTTGATTTGTGTACATTTTTGCATTGCAGGAGTCTTGGGTGTACAGGCCAGTGGCGGGGCAGCCGCCAGTCCTAGGGAACAGAGTTGGAGCGCAGCACAGGGCCCTGGTGGGGCTTGAGAGAGAGCTTCTCGGCCAAGACCCCATCCTGCAGCAGGCTGGCATCCCCTTTGGGCTGTTTGGTCGCAAACTCAGTGATGCTGAAGACAAACTGCAGGCAGCCCAGCTTGATGTAGCTGCCATGGTGCAGTAAGGCCGTGCCCTCCCAGCCGGCCCCACTGCCCCCAATCAAGCTCGAGCTGCTGGCTTTGCAATTGCAGGGTCTCCGCTGCGGCCCCTGGGCCTGGGAACTCATCATGGCTGCCTCCTCACTTGGCTCTTCATCCTGTTTCTGGTGCCGGCGGCGCCCTGAGAAAAAGGGGGATGGTCACAGAAGAGGAACGGTGAGCAGCCAACCCATCTGGACTGTTTGCCAAGGTTGGGATCCTGCATCTCCCCATTCCAACTGCTACATGACTAAGGGTACGGGATGCTCCGAAAGGGTTGGTGGAGTCTGAAGGCCCCACAGGTGTGTACACACACGAGGGTACTCAGCACTTATTTCTCTGTGGTCTGCCCGGGGCCCACAAGGAAGGAGAGCTTGGCCATTAGGACTGGGAAGGTAAGAGACAGACCATGGGCAGCAAGTCAGAACCACCCTGACTGGGGCCTCAGCTTTGTGGCCACAGACCTCTGCTCCAACTTACTGATGACACTCTGCACTTTGGCAACAATACTGCTTGGGGGGGTTGGCGGGGTCTTCTCGGAGAAGTCACATGAATACAGCACATTGTCCACCGTTGTCCCATGCTCACTGTAGTTTAACAGCTCATAATGTTTGGTATTCTGAGGAGGAGGAGGGGAGATAAGATGTGTGGTCTGCTGTGTGGGGCCTGGGGCTAAGGGGAGAGAGGACGTATGGAGAAGGCTGTGCTACTCTACCTAGTGAGACCTTACTTATCTCCCCAGTCATGGCCCCTGTCCTTTCAGAATAGGACTGAAGACACCTCCTCAGGGAAGCCTTCCTTCTGGCATTCTACACTCCCTACTCTCCCACTGCTCCTTCACTCTGCCCTCTCAGCACTGGCTCCTCTTGTATGATATTCATTGGTCCCTGATGATAATGAAATTCACAGTGACACACCCACAGGGCTTGGCTTCCTTCTACGCTGGTCCCCTCCCCTGCTTTAGGGTAGGCTCCCTCTGTTGTGCCTGTGACTAACCTCAGGAAAAATAGTGGCTCTGCACCTGGGAAGCAGGTAGCCTTGGTAGAATGGTTTCACACCAAGGATCTCCTCCTCCAGGAATGACAGGGAGGGAAGAGGAGAGGACCCTCCAAGCCCTTTTCCCTCCCCTCAGGGCACTGAACAAAAACCTAGTGCCTGGAAGAGGCCTCAGGTTGGGAAAGCTCCCTCCCATCCCATCTCCACCCCTCACCTCATCGTAGAATATGCAGGCATGCTTCCCGGACACGTAGTTACAGTGACCATAGTTTGTAAGGCACACATCCATGTCAGCTCCTGCAAGGTGGCAGGAGTAGAGGAAAAGGAAGGCAGAGAACAGATTGTAAGGTGCATGTGTGGCGGAGGTAAGAGAGGGAGGGAGTTAGTTTCTGGGTTGGCACTAGTAGAGACTTCAGGAGTGAAATCAGGGCCCTCCCCTTTTATTTTTGAACAAAAACTGATGTATTTTCCAAGCACCTGATAAAGAACAGCTGTCCCTGCCAACTG